AGGTGGGCTTGGAAGTGGTGCGGGCCGGTGGCCCACACGGGTTCTGAGTTCCAAGTTGGGCTTGCAAGTGGTGCGGGCAGGTGGCCCGCACGGCTTCTCAGTTTCAAGGTGGGCTTGCAAGTGGTGCGGGCAGGTGGCCGGCACGGCTTCTCAGTTCCCAGGTGGGCTTGGAAGTGGTGCGGGCAGGCACGGCTTGTAAGCCACTGCTTCCCCTACCTAAAGCGAAGGCGCTCTTTTAGCATGGTATCCATAAAGCCGAGGTGCCGAAACAGCGGCCCTGTTACTCTTGCAATGTTTGTGACCGCGCGGGCCTCTACTGAATTTCAAGCCTCCTCCTCCTCTTGTGCAGTCAGCCGGAAACAATGGCTCAGGTCGTGCGCAGACACAGGTTGGCGTGGCAAGGCCATAATCTTTCACGATAAGGTGTTCATGATTCCTCCTTCCCACCTCGTGGTGGGCACGCCGTTTTCTTTGCTGATAATTTTTGCAGCGCCCTTGCGAACAATCAACCGCATAGTATTTCTGTTTTAGCTGACGCTGCTGGGTTTGCCATTCACTTTCAGATTTCTCACTGCCTCAATGCGCTGGCCATTTTCGTATATACTTCTAGTGAGCCCGCGTGCTCTTTGAAATCCCCCTTGCATTGGACAAATTTCTAGGCAATGCCCTGCCAGCTGCCTCCCATTAGCATGCAAACGGGTTCCCATCTTATGATGCCCCGGATGCTCGCCCTCGCCCGCTGTAGCGCCCACGCGAGCCAGATTAGGCACTTTCCTTTTCTGTAGTGTGTATGGTTTTTGGCTACGTCTGCATTCCGTATCACAGAGCAACACGCCATTGAGTCCCAGCGACGCGCGTGGCTTTCGGTGCTTGCAGTAAGATTGAGTTTCGTGACTGTGGAATGCCGCGAAGTTGGGGCCCCAGAGAGCATACCGTAAGTTTGGGGGTTTCTTATTTCCCCGCTGAAAAAGGTGGCCTTAAATGTTTGGACTTGACAGCCCTTTGAAATTCAAACAGCCAAAGCTGTGCTCGTCGAAGGAGTTCCTGGCCAATGATGATGCCAGCGTCATGAAACTAATCGAGGACACACTTTGGGCTCTGGAGTTTTGCTGCTGGAGACAATTTAGCCGAAGAGGATATACAGGGATTGTAGTTGTGACTCAAGGACTTGACGGGTTGGGTTGTATAGGGAAATCGATAGATGTTTGGACGGCCCATAGATCTTAGGTTCAGATTTGTACTGACTTGTTTGCATTTTGGGTCTCGGGCTTGGAGCGAAGAGTTTTAGGGCACAAGCGTTTCGGGTTGAGAGTTTAGCACGTTGCGCTGCCACTGCAGGTAAGCAGGCAAGCGCTTCGGGCTCGACCATTCCAAAAGAAGATTCCGTGCCTGCCTACACCTTGAAAGCAATTCTGGTGAATTCCTTTTCAACCTCAAGCTTTCAGCCGGGAACCCCTCAAATAGAAGTTGGCTACATGTTGGGATCCTGCCGACGTGGAAGGTGGCTCGAAACTCCACAACATGCGTACACTTCTGGTAACTTGCGTCATCCTAAGTTCCCGAGGGAAGCAACCAAAGAGGCTGGGCTCATTCCTGGAATTGGATAAGTTCTGGCATGCCAAAGACATATGCGTATGTGAGTAGGGGCTTCCGCCATTGCCCAATATCCGTCACGAGCATGGAGTTTGGTTGCCGAACATGAACCCGTATGTGCCCACTACGTCACTACGCTCCCCAAGTAGACATGGAACCCCATATAGCATCATTCTTTATAGGACCATGTCTCCACGAGGCTCCTTTTCTGAGTCCCGGTCAGTCTGCACTAGATGAAGCTAGCTCCTTCTCGACAGTCGGATTCCAAGCAACACAGGGGCCAGACTGCCAATTGTTGTTTCCGTTCCTTCAGTCATTCAACCTTAGTTCCCAGAAACTGCACTGCCAGAACAGAAAAGTTTTGTGTCATGCTAGCATAGCATGCTCCACAACTTGTCTGTGATGATTGGCCCTTGGCCAAAAATTCTGGCAGCCTGGACCTTACACCTGAAGTCTTCAACTTCAAAGCCTCGAGATGCATTACTTGGATACTGCCCCCCCTCAGTAACAGTTGGATAATAGTTCTAATATGGTTATATATAGCCCTTAATAGGAGTTTAGGTTTTGGAGTTGTTTTATAGTCTAAGTTGGGTACTGCCCCCCCCTCAGTAACAGTTGGATAATAGTTCTAATATGGTTCTATATAGCCCTTAATAGGACCCCTAATATAGACTGTTACTGGGTGGGGGCAGTACCCAATGCATTGGCTGCATTTTCTGAAAGCCTTGCGTGTTCGTGCCACGTTGTCAAGTGCAATCTAAAATCAGCTAGACGCGATGTCTGCGACCCTAAAAGCTTGAACTTGCGCAAGAATTCTAGCCCTGGGAAACTGCCAGTGCACCGTGTGCGCCAGCATGCAGGAGCTAGGATGCATGTTCCGACACACTAGTCTTACATGTAACCATGATTAGAAGGGACGATCGGATATGAATTGGTCATGACTTAGGCTTGTCCAAACCCAGGCCTAAGCTCTACAAACCACTGTGCAATACTAGCCTGCATTTCATGTTTTCAGTTTCTTTCCCGCTTGATCAGCATTACCCCAATTCCTCAGCCACAATTGGATTTCTCGTTGCGCGATATTTCTCTACATATTTTTTTTTCGGCAGGAGTGGGGCAAGGATGCTGTGAAATTCCACATTGAGCAGGCGCTCCCATCGGAGTGTGCTAGGGGGATTTGCTCAAAATGGGGTTTAGGGCCCAGGCCTCAGGTTTGGGGTTTAGGGTCCACACTACACTCTGATACATATTCCTGTGCGTCCTCAACTTGCCAAAGCTGGAGACTCAAATGGGAAAGTCAATGGAAAACTAAGTGGAAACTGTGGGGCTTGCAGAGGATGCTATAGGGTTTCGGGTTAGCTTGCTGGTTGTGAGCCACAGGTTTACCGTTAAACCCTCAAACCCTTAACCCTAAACACCCTAAACCCTAAAACACCCTAAAGCCCTAAAGCCCTGAAGCCCTAACCCTAAACCCCTAAAGCGTGGGGCTATATAGGGATATATAGGCATATTCAGGGTTTATGGTTTCCCCAAATTAGGGGTTACATGTTTAGTGGTCCTCAAAAAAAGGATTGCTGTATTTTGGTGTCTAAATTGGGGTCCCCCTATTTTCGGAAACTACCATATGTTTGGACTGACATTACGCAGTTACACGGTTTAGGGCTTAGGGTTTCTTAAAATCTGATCCCTCGCCCTGCCCCTTGAGATTTTAAATCATGGATGGCCCTAAATAACTAGATGGGGTTTGGGTATTTGATCTTTGCGGACGTATGCGTTACCTGAATCTGGCAGGTGACAGGCAAGACTCCTGAAGAAGACAAGACTCCCGAAGAGAAGGAAACGGAGTTCAAGGAATATTTTGGCCGAGGCCTTACTCAGCCAATGGCCGACCTTAGGTGGACCCCCCCCACCCAGTAATAGTGACTATAGGGGATAATAAGGATTATATTAGGGTCCTCTTACATTCCTATTATACCACTATTACAGGGTGGGGGGTCCTCCTAAGGCAGACCACTTCAGGGCAGTTTAGGGCTCAGAGATGTTTGGAGTCCAAGCTGCCGCCATCTGTTGGGTGCTTGAGGGGGAGTACGGGACGGAACATATAGCTTAATTGTATTCTAGGGGTTTATATCGGGATTATGAGAAGGGTCCGGCCCCCCCCCTCCCCCCCCTCCCCCCCACTCCGCCGCCAAATTGTGGGTCCCCTTCCTGCTCCCTTCGTACCTGTCCTCGTCATCATCGCCGTCGTAGTAGACGTCTTAGTAGCAGGAGCAATCGCGGTAGAAGCAGCAGAAGTTCGAAGAGGAAGAGGAGGAGTACCAATAAGGAGTGGTTGTCAGCCTGTTCTGCAGCAGTGACCAACTCCAATCCTGTGCCTGGAGTCAAGGGCTCGACGGGGTTTTGGGGTTGCAAGTTTCGGATGTAAAGGTTGAGGGTACAACGCTGGAAGCCCGCAGCATACTTGGGAACTAGCTTGTAAGAAGCCAGAGAGAAAGAAGCCAAATTGCATTTTCAGGCCCTGATGATAGCTGCAGCCTGGTGATCCCAGAAACGTCAGTTCAATGTTGATGTTGCATTAGCTTTCGCCACGTGCAAACCAGCTTTCACAGGGCTTCCGCACTGCATCAAAGCTCCAACCCGAAACCTTAAAACCTGACCTGACTGCAAGTGGGCTGTAATTGCAGGCGCCTGTTCCGTATTCTTAGGGTATAGCAGCCTGTTATCCTTGAAGCCCTGGCTGTGGCTTCAGAACATCAGCCCTTCACAACCTGGTGCTGGGGAGTAGGGCATGTAGTAACAAGTGTAGGGGATTATACAGGTATTGTTGTAGGATGCAGCCCCCCAAACCCCAAACCCTCAAGCCCAGGATAAGCAGAAATCGTATCCTTGCCTGCCCTTTTTGGAAAGATCGCCCAGAAATGAACACTCGAAGTGAGGGGAGCAAGGAATTATGCTGCTGTCCCTCATTTTGGTCAGGGTGGGTCAGGAAGGATGGGAAAGCAGGAGGGAAAAGGTTGGGCGAGCAGGTTGAGAGACCAAAATTGGGCGATTAGGTCGGGCGAGTGCGCAAGTAAGTTGGGAGCGAGCAGGTTGGGCGAGGCGAGCATGCTGGGCAAGTAGGCTGCGTGCACAAAACCCAAAACTCGGACAAGCCGGTTTTGCAAGCAAAAACAACAATCCTTGAACCTCAAACCCTGTACAATGTCTAATTTCTATTCGCCCTTAACCCTAAGCAGCAGCAAGTGCAGCTCAGGTCTCGAGATGCCAGACCTTCCGGCAGGACTCAAGCCAGCCAGACCCCTAGCGACAGGGTCTTTTTTCGTAAAAGGGATATACGTAATAAAGGGATCTTAGAGGGGCTAATGGTTCCCCCAAAGAAAAACCAAAGTTGTAGGTTGTAGGCGCAGTCTGGAAGGTTGTTCAGCGCCTAGGGATCAGGGTTGCGTTAGAGTTTCACCCCAAAGATGAAGTTGAGCTTTGGTTTTTTGGTGAGTGCACGCATGAGGTGTATCCTTCGTAGGCTGCATGGGGATTAGTCGTATTGAGAGTTCTTGTCAATACCATTAGGATTTATAAGCCCCAAACCCCAAACCCCAAACCCTAAACCCTAAACCCTAAATCAAATGTCAAACTTGCACCATGCAACCGAAGCGCTTTGCTGAGGCAGAAGTTGAGTCCAAGCTGAACGAAGTTGTCCAGAAGGGCATCAAAGAGAAGGCGGCCTCTTACGAGGCCGGAAGCAGGGCTTTAAGTCTAGGGTTGAAAAGGTTTAAGGACTAATGTGGGGGGTTATATAGGGAACGTGGAAAAGAAAATGGAAGCTACTATTTAGGGTTTAGGGCTTAGAGTGTAATGTAGGCCTGTGATTAGTAAACCCCCTCCCATTCATAGGGTTTATAATAGGGATCCCAATATTAAGGCCCTTAAAGGGAGGGGGCTTATAAATCAGGAGTCTACATTAAGGTTTACAGGGTTACAGGGTTTACTGAGCAAGCTTTGCAAGGTCTCGGTTCAGGGTCATGATTTTTGGCGCAGGGTATCCTGACCTCCCTTGCAAGGGCTGAAGGGCACATGTACATATGTATTTATAGATATACATATATATATATATGTGTGTATAGATATTTCTCTATATACATCTAGGATTTACAACCATGTGGTTTGAGATGTGTTTTTTCAGAGCCTGACGCATGAGTTCAGCGTGGAGCGGCCTTCGGTTCAGACGTGTTTCTAGGGCATTAACGGGATCAGGCACCTACATCCCATCCTCCAAACTAACGTGGAACCCGATGGAGCCCCCTTCTAAAGGAGCAGTATTAAGTATTAGGCCTTTTAAGGGTTATTAGGGCATACTAGGCTTCTTTAGGTTGGCGGGGGGAAGTGGCAGTCCCGTGCAATGTGCAAGGAGTTCCGACCCGGATTCGCTGTCGAAGCTGCGAGGATTGCAACTGTCGTGTGCCCTGGACTGAAACCCTAGGCTGCTGTTAAGGAATTGGAATTAAGTTACCATATTAGGGGAACCATGTTAGTTGTCATATGAATATAAATATGCACCCATTCTTATGGTAATTGAATCTAGGTTCTTCAATAACAACGCCGCAAAAACTCGAGGTGGCAGAGTCCCAACAAAATGCCTATAGATTGGGTCGTTCCCCCTCAAAAGTGCCTTTTTGTAAAGAGCTATACTAACTCAATTGACCATTGCGGTAATTGTTATTGTAAGGGGCAATGACTTAACGTACAGTACAGAATCCTTGAACTGGGCTGTCTTCTATGTTACTACAGAGAGCCCCAGCTCATGATATGGTGGAGTCTTTCTTATCATGAGCTTGTTGCAGGGTAGAGCATTATTAGGGGATAGGGTATGCCATCCGCACTGCTACTATCTCCCTCTCAAAGGTAAATGGTCGTCCCATTGTAGAAAGTATACTGTATTGGGAATACCCATTATTGGGGGGTTGGGGGGAGGGGGTACATGTTGGGTGGAGTAGCCCTATCCCCTGAACCCTAAACCCTAAACCTTCCCTGCACCCTAAACGCTCTGCTGAAAACTGTTTGGGAGGATCAGGAATGGCAAGTCCTACAGCTTAAACCCCCTTAATCCTTAAACCCTAAACCCTTAAACCCTAAGCCGCAAAAGTCCGAAGGGTTGTAAAAAGAAGCCCTTAAATCCTAAAATGTAAACCCTTAAACTCTCAAACCCTAAACCCTCAAACCCTAAACTCTAAACCCTCAACACCTTCAACCCTAAACCCTCAAACCCTAAACCCTTAACCCTCAAGCCCTTAACCATGAAACCATAAGCATTCCTTTGTATCCTGCCTAGGACCATCGATGATGAGTGGAAGGCGTTGCTGCAGAAGATGGATGCTTTGAAGCAGACTGTCGGTCACTGGGCTGCAGATGTAAGGCATGTAATCCCCTCATGCTACACCCCCTCACCCTATATTGGGGACCATATTCAATATCAGGGGTGAATTCAAGACTAGTCTTCGGGGATGGCTCTTAGTCGGGTTACGAGTTGAGGCAGTACACTTGTTGAGGGTCCAAGTTTAGTGGGCTTTACAAGTGGTATGAGGCTTGAGGGTTTAGGGCTCAGGCTTCAGGATGAAGGTTGACATGGGATTTGGCGGAGAATGGGTGTCGTTAGGGATCCAGGAATTTGCGAGGACTATGAGGGGATCATGGGGGAAATCCTTCTTGGATCGTATCGAACTCCAAGGCTTGTGCCTCAAGGTTGGTTGTTCCTGTACGATTGCAAGGCATAGTTTGTCCGCACCACTTAATCTGAACCTTGCCCTAAAGCTGGGTGGCCAATCCTTAGGTGTAGAATCGAAGCCCTTAGAACGCTCGAAAGCACGCACGCCCAATGTACTCAACCCTAAACTTTAAAACAGCCCGCCAGACTGAATGAGCGCTTGCATCGCAAACTCTGCACCTGCCAAGAAAACCTAGTCGTCCAGATTCACGATTTGACAGAGGAACATGACAAGCACAACAGCATTGCTTGTAGTGAAATGCTGATGTCCAAGAACGTCCACAGCTGGTGGCGCCCACCACCTGCTGTAACATGGTAGTCACCATAAATTGTGGGAGCCCACTATAGACCCCCAAGTACTCTAATCCTTGATATTTAGTGAGACCCCCAAAAAAGTATCTTGGAAATCTACATTCCATTCTGAATCGCTCTAATTATACGCCCTGAGCCACGTTCGGGGTTTAGGGTTTAGAGTGAAATCCCTAAACCTCAGCCCTCAACCTCAAGCCCTGATTCCTACCTGGAGGGTACTTGGCAAGCATACCAAAACACTTGTAAGCGAAGTAGCAGCCCCAGTCGTCCAAAACGCATTCACTACGTACCTCTAAGCCTTTGAGAAATCATGGTGCCTTGGAACCCTGAATCCTAAACACTGTGCCTCAACCCTAAAAACCCTAAACCTTGAACCCTAAACGAAACAAATCCCGAAGCCCGAAACCCTATAATACCCTGAAGCCCACCTAGCCGTCAGTCCGAGACTCGGCCCGAAAACCCTAAGCCCTAAAAAGGGTTTAGGGCTTAGGGAAAAAACCCTATACCCTTCATGATCCCTAGGTTCCCTGCATGACTTTTTTGTAATCCGTATATAATCTTCATGTAATCCCTACTTTCCCCTACATAGACCCTATATGAGCCCCTAAACTTTAAACCCCTAACCTTGGACCCTAAACCAGCCTTAAATCCTAAACTCTAACCCCCCGGCCCTAAATCCTAAATCCTAAACCCTAGACTCCTACACCCCCAAATCCTACACCCCAAGCCCCAAACCCTAAACCCTTTAAAGGGTGCGTGGAGCCCCAGGTTTGGCGGCATACAAGGGCTCC